CTCTTCCAACTCGTGTCCCTCTCCCCGGAAGTCTCTGAAGGAGCTGTCGCGAGAGATGGGCCGGGACGTTTGGACCCCTGTGTGGCGCACGCTGTCCTTGTGCTGCCGGCATTTGCTCAGGAGCTCTTCGTACTTCTCCAGCAAGGCGTGATACTGCTCGTCCACTTCTCTCAGGATGGACATGCCCCGTTTGCGCACGTTGTTGGCGTGCAGCGTGTAATTGCCCTCATGCCGGCTCACGGCATCCTTGGTCACGATGGCATTGAGGGCTGTGTCACTGCAGCTTTTCCGGACAGGGTGGTTGGGGGAAGGCGTCATTGATGGCCCATGACTTTTCCCTCCCTCCTCCTCAGACAGGTCGATGTAGTCTGCTTCTGGGGCGTTATTCAGCGGCTCGAGGAGGGCCTCAGACAAGTTGTCTTCTCTGCTGAGCAGGTACTTCTTGACTTGTTTCATCTGTTGTAGCTCTAGGAGCTCTGCTTCCAGTTCCTTGATGCGCAGTTTGCAGTTCTCCATCTCACACACCCGCTGCTCGAGGTCCGAGTACTCCTGAATAACAGAGGTGTACTCTCGCTCAACCCTCTCCTTCCGCTGCTTCTCCTGGTTGACTTGGGACCTCAGGGAGTTCACCATGGCTTGGAGACGCTCATTCTCCCTCTCCAGTGGCTTCTGGTTGAACTCTGTGGAAGAGCTGTGGACCTGGAATGCGTCCTCATACCTGAAAGAGAAAGACCCTTGAGAGAGTCTGACCAAGTGACAGTCCATGAGGCACTCAGACTGTCTTATCATCACGTAAGTAATTCCACTGATGCCCAGAAAGGAGGTAACCTGAGCTCATGGAGTGAGATATGCCTCCTCCTGCGTGCCAGGAGACCACAAGGTGTGTCTGTGGCTCTTTTGGACACAGAGACCAGGCTCTGTCTCAGAGAACCTGCAGTCTCGTTTGATAGCAGTGATGACAGGCAGGAGGGAAACGAAACCCTAAAAGGTAAAAGACCCATCTGGTTAACGGACAAGCCACCAGCAGTGCTGTGAAGCAAGGATGAATGTTCAAGTGCTACCAGTTCAAGACCTGAAAGCAGAAGGAGTTTTTCCTGCTGGGGTTCATCAGCTACTCAGTGTATCACGGAGTTCATCAGCTACTTGCTGCACCTGCCAACAACCCCGAACCCCACCCGACCAAAAACCTCTGCCGTCCTGTGTCTGGGAGGTGCTCCAGAGAGAGTGGGAGAAGATTTGTACAGCAAGGGAGGCAGAAAGTGACTTTTGACAGTTACCCCTTCTTCATTGCTCACTGCCTGGGAAGCGGCAACACGCACTTCCCCCTTCCCTCACGTTGCTGTCGGGAAATCAGATTTTTCTCCTTCTCAATGAAGTGCCCGTGGCATCCTATCTGGTTAGAACAGATTGGAAAAAAGCAAGCGCCATGGCTTCCCCGGGAGACACGACTGGTGGCGGGTAGTATTGAACAGATTTCCAAGTTACTGAAGGGCAGCCTGACCTTCAGAGCCAACTGCAGAGCTCCAAGCCGAACTGAGGTCCCGAGGCACTGGGGGGAGAGTGGGATTGGGGGACAGGGGGGAAAAGAACCACTGAGACATTAAGTGGATTTTGCTGGGGGCTAGGTTATGGCCTCATAAACATCCCCATTGCTGCTGCAGTAAAAGTGTCTTTCGTTCGTATCCTCTGGCAGAGGACGTTTTCAGTAACAAAGTTTATCGATTGCTTATCTATTTAAAGAAGTCTCTATTGTGGACAAAGCTGAGCAAGAAATGCCCTCACGAGGTCAGTGAATTAACACAGTGGCTGGATTTTAAGGAGGATCAAGTGTGCAATAGTGCTGAAGGTGATTGTACAGCACTTGGCAGCACGTGGCGTATCTTGGTGTGTGACTGGTGCTCCTGGGGGGTACTGGAGTCATACAGGACAAAATGCACCATCTCAAGTGGTTTCAGTGAGCCGGAGATGCTGGTACTGTGCTGGGAGGCAGTTGCAAAGGGAAAATGGGCTGTGCTGGTTCGGGGAGGGAAGCTGTGTAGGCAGCTCGAGGTAAGGGTCCTCCTCACATGATGTGTTACTGGGTGGGCTGTACTGGGAGAGGCTGGTTTGAACTATCTAGAGCTCAAGCAGTGCGTCCTGTCTGGTGTGTGTTCCCGCACAGCTCCCTGCCAAGGTGCCAGGAGAGTCCCAGCCCCTCCAGGCAATGCCTGTCCCCTGCAGCCTGGCCCAGTGCAGCTGCGAGAGGCATCCAGATCCTCCTGGGTAGCGGTTCTTGCCCTCTGAAAAAGAGCCTGTGTCTCCCCACTCAAGGCATCACTGGTGCTGTGATCATGAAGGCTCTGCTTTGCCAACGCCACCTGCTTAGGTGGGCAGGTAGGAGAGAGGGAGGTCCTCCCTTCACCTCCAGCACTGAGTTTCAGGCTCTGATGCAGAGCCTAGACCTCTATGGGGGTGTATGTGGGGTTTTGTGTGCCCCCAAGGGGCTAACCCACCACATCCCCTGTTCACGGGCAGAGGAGGTAGGGGAGAAGGTTGGAGGGGTTGCTAACGGCAAGGCTCCTTACCTGGGGCTGGAGCACAGCTCCTTAAGGCAGGGGAAGGTGTGGATGGTTCGGCGCCGCTCCCTCTTCTCCCGGCGAATGCGGAGCTGCTCCAAGCTCCGCATTTCCTCCACCTGCTTCTGCAGCTCCTCCACTTGGTTCTGCAGCCCCTCGATTGTTTCCGTCAAGCTGCGGAGAGAAGAGGGGGCACGGATGAGGAGCCAGGCACTACAGGTCCTTGAAAGCTGTTTTTTCCCCAAAAGAGAAAGCCAGTCTATGGAAGGTGCTTCCAGTTTCTAGCATGTGCCCTGGGAGCACGGCAGGGCTTGCTTTTCATGGCAGTGGCTGGTCTTCCTCTGCGTGGTTGCTCTTGAATGGGGGTGTCTGTAGAGAAGGGTGGGGGATTGAAGCAGTGACAAGAGATCGTACTAATTTGAGACCCTCTGTCCTCAAATCAGTTGGCTGTAACAGTCACCTCTGGGACATAAGCACTATCCTGGAATACCTCTGCACTAAAAGCAAGCAGGCGAGCTATTTACTCTCTTCCTCTTATTTCTCTTGTACAGATAAACACAGAGAGACCGGGCAGAGATTTAGTTTTGTTCTGGCTGCGAACGCAGTTTGTAAAACTCTCTGCTCCGAAACTCCCTCTCTGCACAGTCGTCTGCAAAAGATGCTGCATTACAATGACATGGCTTAGTCTGTTGTTTCCAGGCATGACCTTGATCGTGGGCCTCTTTTAGGAAAAAGTTATTGACAAACTGATGTTTCAGCATGGATTAGCCAGAGTTTCGCTAAATGCTGGATCTGCTGTCATCCCAGTGTTTCTGCTGGGCTGTGTGCTCGGCACCTCCCTAATGTGATTATGTGCCTCTTCAAGGAAACGTGTCCGAGGAGGAGGAGGAGAGGCTGCCGTACCTCTCTCCTCCTGGCAGCTACAGACACTCCTTTATCCAGCCCTCATCCCAGGGGTGTCTGTGCTGTGGCTGACCTCTGCTAACCAGCATCGGTGCAATGAGCTTCTGTTGTAAATAGCTGCAAAACCCGAGTGATAAGAGAATGGCTTAGACAGCAAAGACATGCTGCACTTTGGGGCAGGGGAAAGGTGAAATGAAGGTCTCTGGGGTACAGCATTGCTGCCGTGGGACGAGGGGAGGCCATACCACTGTATCTTCTGTTGGGATGTCTTGCTTTCCAGCACGAGCTTCTGGTTAGCTAGCTCCAGGTCCCGTGCTGTCAGATCCAGCTGCTCATAGACTTTCGCATGCTGTTCGTTCATCTGCCGCAACATCTCTAGTTGCTTGGTCAGGTACTGCAGGAAAAAGCGAAACAGAAACACTCCACATCCAAAATCCAGGTTGTTTCACAGGCAGAAATTCCTACAGCCTTTGCTTCCTCCGATAATGTGTTTTGAGGCTGATTTATCCTCTACCTGGTTGAACCCTTTTGCACAGGTGAAATATCCATACCCCTGCTCACTGTAAATACTTTTGTGTCTAAAATAAGACTGAACTTCCCCTGCCCTCTGTGGAGGGCACTAACCTCAATCTCTCGCTATTTAGCTGCTTTTTTATTCCCAGTATGTAAAGACAGTTGATATCCCTGGGACTGTGACCCTTCACCAGAGTTGACTGAAATTGGCCAGTTGGTTACTGGATCATCTGACAGATCGATTGCAGAAGCTGCGTTTCCTTGGGAATTCAGGCTAAGACTCTGAGTCTGTGA